AATAATGAAAACAAACAAATAAATAAATAAGTCTGACCCATGGTGGTGGGTGATGAGTGGTGGGTGATACATATACATACAAGGCTGGAACAGGAGGATTGATGGGAATGGGGATGGCGATGGAGGGGTCTGGGACAGAGTGAGAGTGACGGCGCCTGACAAAGTAAACGAATAGGATAAATAAGCAAAGACAACATACGTATGTACGTCCAAAAATCAACAAGAACAAAAAAGCTCTACCTACAAAACATCGAATCGGAACGGCACGGCACGGACGACACAGAACAGAAGGCAAACCAAATAAAATAACGGAATAAAACAATCAGGAAATTGTCCTTTGATCTTTGTTTCTCCCATGCAATATCCAATGAACCCCAGCTAACTTTGTCAGCGTAATATTCTACTGCTTATTTTCCGCGTTTGATGACATAACCAAAATAACAAGATATACAAATAAAATCATATAAAAAGTATCTATGTCACTTTCGATTAAGGTTGTTCGTCAAAAGTTAAACACGTTTTCAATCAATATGCGAATACTATGCCTAATAAAACGATTGAAACATGCATATGTTAGAAGGATATTGGGCTCTATCTTTGCTAAATCTTAAACGGTGCTAAGACTCAAAGACTAAAACTTGAACTTAAATTAAATTTTTTATTATACCCGGCACTTGACTTCGGCACTTGTCTTCGATTTTTAGTGATGTGGTTGCGTGTACTTTGTACATATGTATGGATATGTAAGTATTCTTGATCAGACATCAATAGCAGAGTCGATATAGCCATGTCTGTCTGTGTTGTCTGTTATTTTTATGCCTTCTTCTCAGAGACTATAAGAGCTAGAGTTAACAAATCTTATGTGAGAACTCATGCAACATTACAGTGAATCAGGTATGTTTCAAAATGTTACCCCCTTCCGCGCCCATCAAAGGCAAAAATCTCTCACACTCACATTTTTGAAGATAAGAGAAAATTATTGACCATATTTATTAGATCACTAAATTGTGATTAGATGGGATCACTATTACAGCAAGACTGAAGAAATTAATTTGCAGTGGTTACTCGCACGGTGGCGAGCTGTAAGGGAGCGTAGATGTAGATGACATATATACATATGTAGAAACAATGTAAAATGTGAAACTTAAAAAAAAACACTAAGGTTCATGGGCTTCATGGACTCCAGTCCATCTAGCTGAACGTTCATTTTTTTAAAGATATTGGTTGGTAATCGGGCTCTGTGAATGACAAACGTATTCTCTAGATTATATATTACAATAAATACCTAGCAACATAAAATTTGTTTCACAACTTTTGTTGATAGAAAAAGCTTTGTCTTGATTATCTCAACCATATCGCTATGTAAAATAGATACTTTATTCTCTATGCACGGGGTGGATACATACTTAAATATGTACATATTCACATACAAAACTTTAACTCAAAACTTTGAGGCGCCTCAAAACTCAAGAAACGTATCCTTATGTGAGGAAAATAGTAGGTTCCTCATCTAAGATGATTGGTAATGCTTTAAAACATGTTACCAACAAGAAACTCGTGAAAGAACTGGCGCAATGTCAACATTCCGGTGAAAATGCTTCTTCCTGAGAGCAAGAGGGGTCCTTTTAAGCCGACCAGACCAGAGACCAGAGCTTAAAAGGGATCTGAAAAAATTTCCAAAGATAATCAAAGCTAGATCTAATTTAAAAGAATATAAATTAAATATTCAAAGTCTGAGCAAAAATTCAGTTTAGCAATGAAGCCATGGGGCAAAGTAAATACAAGGTAGAAAAAACACTCGAGTTGGCCCAAATAAATATACATATACATATGTACATACATATGTTTGTATGTATGTATATGGGATCGTATCATAATAACAATCTTTGCGTATTATGGTCTGTATGCTGTTGCTGAATCCACCACGAGGTTGCTTTCAGAAGGTTGTCTTCTGTTGCCGTTTTTTCCTTCTTTTGAGTCAATTCTAGTTGCTTCGTTTACCGTAGTTCTGCTCTTTTCTTAACGTGCGCAATGGAAAAAGACCAGAATTCGACATATACATATACACATACATATATATGTACATATGTACTCACATAAATATACATGTACACATTTGTGCACATATGTATGTACATACATATATATGTTAGTATATACACAACATCTGTATTTATAAGGAGGAAAGAGATACATACAAATATACATATGTACCTACATGCATGCATACATATACAGGCTCAACAATTGATGGCTTGTAAGTTTTATCCAGGACGCTTTTGTTCCATACGATTTCTAAAACATTCTTCCGCTCATAATTTTTTGGTACAATATACAATATGTATATATGTATATACATATCTGTATGTATATATATATATAGAATCTGTATATATAAATATATGTATTATATTTAAGTACTCTAAGAAATATATATACACATATGTTCATACATATATGTATGTACATACCTATGTACATATGTACATTTGTACCACATATGTATGCATGCTACGAAGTGACAAACAATCAAGACGACATGCATCTCGTCTTAGAATTGTATATTTTTGTTTACATATTTACATACGAACAGGTGCATACATCCATATGGGCTTTTGTGTGGTAAATGGTAAATGTAAATAGATATGTACATATGTATTTACTAATGTATGCATATGTTACCCGTTTCCGTCCGCCAACCGAACTCAATATATATCGTACAATGGCAAATAATTGACGAGACAATTGGCCGAGACAAGCATTGCCGTGCACTAACCACCATCCACCCACATACTACTTCTGCACTGCTGGCTTCGCTTCGATAAGGGGAGGAGCTTAAAGTTTATACCCAGCTTCGTGTTCGGCTCGCTTCGTATTCTTATTGTGTTGCACAATCAATTCAATGCCCTTTTCCGTTTGAGTTCGCTTGTTAACGTTGGCGTTGCCCTGTGTCTGGCTATCGATTTTTGTTTGAGCTATTCAAAAACAAAAAGGGTTTTGTTTTTCACCATTTATGTACATGTTTACATACACAGCATAGCTATATACACGCAGAGAAAGATAGATAGAGAGCGAGGGAGAGAAAGAAAGGGAGAGACAGAGAGAGAGAGAGCGAGAGAGAGAGAAAAAAAGAGAGAGCGATAGTGAAAAGCTTACCAATGGACAGATAGAAGCTGAGAACTGGCGTCGAGTGTAATGCTTGTAATTCGTGCACAATATGTATGTGCAGAACAATTGAATACACGCCCACATCCACATCAATTTCCCAGCCAACCCAACCGCTCTGTCTGTCGTGTCGTGGTGCTTTGCTTTGCTTGTTTCCTGACCTCAAGCACTAGGGTGGGTGGGAGGAGTACAGGTAGACGGCTAAAAGCTGCGCGCTGGGGGAGAGAGCAAATGATTCGCAATAAAGAGAAGTTAAAGAGACTCAAAGACTAACAGAGAGCGAAGAAAACTATGCTGCGCTCTTAGCTGTTCTCGCAGCTATTCAATTGTTAGATGTTAAGCTTTTCTAAGAAGAGAGTCGATGTTTTGGGCCCAGCTAACAGTGACGTTAGCAGAGTGGGTTGTATGGGAAAATGGGAAAAGTGTACTGTTGACGAACTGATGCCTCAATCTTTCGGGGTTGTATGGGAAAATGAGAAAAGTGTACTGTTGACGGACTGATGCCTCAATCTTTCGGGCGACGCGGACAAGCAAACAACAGAATAGTGTCGAGTTATTTTCTGAATTGAGAAAAGTATGTTGTCCCCTAAAAATTTTCATATTGTCAGCTGAAATACATATGTATTTATGTATGAACATATATTTATCAATTAATTTAACATCCCTAAGTGACTTTTTTAACAGTAAAGAGATTTTGTCGAATTTTGGTGCCTTCCGATAACGGTCGCGTGGGGGGCTAGAGCAGCAAACAGTCCTGTTCATTGGAACTCGACATCATCGGGACACACTCTGTCGGCTACAGAAACTCACACGGATACGCGTCTCGTTGCGATTTGTCATTGGCAAGAAAAAGGCGTCCGTCCCAATGCAGTGCTTCAGCCAATCAGGCAAAGAGCACTTTTTGGCCACATCCACTCATTTCATTTGTGATAAACCCCTGCAGAAGTTGCAATCTGCTTTCTTACAGTGCAGTAATGGCAGTAATGGTGAGCCACCTGTCATTTTAAGTAAAAATCCGAAATCCGGCTGAGGACTCTACAAAATAATATAAATGTACATTGTACATGTACATGTACAATGTGTACTTCAGAATATTTCAAACTCAGCGAACAAGCAATGTGCCTCTTCTGTGTTTCTAAAGAGTTTCTCCTAGCGCGAGTATATAGTGACATTAAATCAAAGCATCAAATGTGCATACTCGCACCTAATCTACTCTGTGCATAGTATATTGCTTCAATATTTTTTTAAAACCCATCGTTAAGCATGTTGAACCTGTTTTCGAGTCAAATCAGCCCAATGATGCGTTCCTGGATGAAGGCAATTTTAACGGAGGCAGAATTCAGAAATTTCTGTTCACATTCATGTACATACATACACGTACATACTGTCGCATTTAGTCTAGCAACTTTTTCCACTCTAACTCCTTTGACAGAAACACTAATGAGCTTCGAAAAAATCGTAACCTTCCTACCGATCTTTCTAATAATCTAGTCACAACTCGACGTCTAATCATAGCAGCAATGATCCAAAAAGCCTTTTTTATATGTATACCATATGCAACAGCTATGTTCAGAAGGCTACCCATTATGAAGGAAGGATCCTGAAGGACCCTGAAGATAAATAAATAAATATACTAAGTCACAAAGATCGGATAAAAAGTTTGTGATCCAATATACATAAAGATATCTATCTTTATCTTAAAAAAGTCTAGGCAGCTTAAGGGTGTCAACAGTTTGATCTGAATATCATCAGTTGCATGTACATGTTCTCAGATTTTTAATGCATTTATAGATTATTTGATATCTGAAAGCTTTAATTTCCTCATTTCGTTGCAGACTCAGTTCGACAGCATGACCGACATTGATGCAAGTGTTCAGCAGCAGCAGCAACTCCAAAATGTACAGAGGCTACAGCAAGAGAGCTGCCTGCAGGAGCTGCATCACCAGCTGAACGCACAGTTCGGGGCAGGACGTTTTGCAGTACCAAATCATCATCATCAGCAGCAAGCAGCTTCTGTTAGTACCGGCAACTTGGTACCGTTTCTTCCAGCTTTCCTGCGTCCACCAGTACCTGCACAGCAGTTGATGCAACTCATGCCTGGCAATGTAAATCCGCAGTCACAGCACCAGCATAGTCATCATGGACCAACGAGCGCACACAAAATGGCCATGCAACCAATGTGGCCGACAGCAGCGGTGGCGGCGGCACACATTCAGGCCGCTTTGGCGGCAGCGGCTGTGGCTGCCTCCAATAATAACAACCACAGTTCTAGCAACAATAATCTACTCGCACTGTCGACAAGTGTCAATAAGCCGGCGGATGCCTCTGGTACACTGGCAACGCTTGAGATTGGTGCTTTGAGAGGAAGCAGCAAGTCAAGGCCAGAGTCTCCCGTGCAGGAGAGCCATAGCTATTCAATGCTTTCGTACAGCCATACACCACCAGAGTCACCCCACGGTCGAACAGCCTTAGCCCAGAGTCACAGTGTTCCAGAAGAATGCGCTCTAACCTTTCCATCCTCGCCGGCCGATCATAGTGTGGCAAGTCTCTCGGACTCAGTTCAAGAATCCGAAATGGAGGTTCCATTGAACCTTACCAAGCCGAAAGGATCGCCCAGCTCTTCTCCAACCAGCTGTTGCCCCAGAGATCAGCGTGAAAGTCTTACTCCCGTAGTATCCAGTCCGCCATTGGGCTGGCATCATGCAGCCCCACATCATTACACAGACATGGAAGCCCCACTTGTAAAAACTCGTGTAAGTAAAAAATTGTCAGAGGTGTTCTTAAAGATAATCGCCATATATAGATAATGATACGGTCATGACGAATTTGGCCTCTGCAAGCTAGAGTTAAACTTTGCAGAGTACCAAAATCATTTTTTTTCTTTTGCATTTTTATTTTAAGAGCCAAATATGGAATTCCGCTGGCGTAACGGGCGATGCATGTCCAACATTGTGCCCCACTGGTATTGGAGTTGGCGGATCACGGGCGGCGCGGATCAGTCGCGACTCCACAAACAGTTGCGGGACGAACTCGGAAATTTCCGCGACGCTAGACCCAGACGGTTATAACAAAAATCAAGTTAGCCCAGGTGCTCAGCAGCCGTCAACAACACATCCGCAGAGACATGGTAATGGACATGGGCATGGCCATGGTCACAGTCATGGCCACGGCAAGCCGCATATTAAACGGCCAATGAACGCTTTCATGGTATGGGCAAAAGATGAGCGTAGAAAGATTTTGAAAGCCTGCCCGGATATGCACAATTCAAATATATCCAAAATTTTGGGCGCCCGCTGGAAGGCTATGTCGAATGCTGATAAACAACCATACTATGAGGAGCAATCGCGTCTCTCGAAGCTCCATATGGAGCAGCATCCAGACTACCGCTACCGGCCGCGTCCCAAACGCACATGTATCGTGGACGGAAAGAAGATGCGTATATCAGAGTATAAAGTATTGATGCGCAACCGCCGAGCAGAGATGAGGCAGCTCTGGTGCCGCACTAGTGGCGCAAATACTGGGGGTCCTGGAGGCACCTCTGCTGACTGCTTAAGTGGACAGGATGGTCCACCTCATGTGCATTCTGCGGCTGCAGCCGCTGTCTATCATTTACAGGACATGACACAAGCTGTAGCAGCGGCCGCTGCGGCTGCAGCTCATGGTGATGACTGTGGAACTCCTCCTTCACAACCGTTGGGCTGTGCGACTACTGGCACTTTCTATTATCCAGCAGAAAGCTTATCGCCCTCTGGTTTTTCATCAGAGGAAATGGAGATTCAATCGCAGCGGGAATTAGACGACTAAGGTGGCCATCTGTAGACTTAAGTGAGGAACGCCGTACAAAACAGCCACGGAAAAGCTGATTTGAAGTACATACCTTTATGTACGAATATAAGAGGGATGATAATGCTGCTCGCAGTAGACTTGTAAATAGAAAAAATGTTAGGATAGTCCTTGTATAGTCATATAAGTTTCAGTTCAAGTGCCATTACATATGTATATGTTAAATAGTTATTAATAATTAATTTGTGAATCAATTGTTCGCAGAATGCTCCGTCTGAGGCGCGATTCGGAACCAGCAGAGCATTCATGGGAACGTTGCAATTTTTGTGCCATTCATGCACCAATGCAGTAGCTATAGAAAAATATCCCGTACATAAATACATACATAAATTAGTAACGTTTAATATTTGTAAAATATGAATATTATAAATACACAAATGCGTAGTCCATAAACACAAGACATACATACATATGCATGTCTGTTTATACAAATTTTGTATGATGGTACTCCATCATCGACGATTAAAAGTTTCTCATGAGTAGGCACACATACAAAACATCACAATATGCATACATATACACCTAGCCGTACGTTAACAGTCACGTTGTTAATATCATATGCTCTACATACATACATACATATATACATACAAACAAACTCGTATGCACGAGTATACGACATAATCACGCATAAGTATTCCTAATTTGTATAGGTACTAAGACGGGCTCAAGGTTTTCATTATGATATATGTACGTATGTACACATTTACATATGTTCATATATGCATACATACAGTTGTAAGATTGTTTACCACTCATAGTGCGTATGGTTGATTTTCTAAGATGCTATTTTAACTAATCAATATACCAAGAACATACAAAAATGTATATAGTATATACGTACATACATACATATACAGACATATGTATGAAAATCTAATATTAAACCTGCCAATCAGCCTGCATCCCCCAGAAAAATGAAAGTAATAGTAGCGCATTAAGTAATAGACCAATTAAACATTGACATTTGTCTAATATTATTTACCCTTTCTTCGTAGCTTTGTCTGATCCAATTATGAATGTGAATGTGCTGATCAAAACTCACAACTAAAATACATATTAAAATGTTAAACAATGAAATCAAAATGACTACACGTACACTCAAGTACGAGCTAAACGATTATTTAGACACTATATATGTAATATGTACATGTAATTTATGTCAATATGATCGCATGGACTACTCTCTTAGCTTTCTTCTGGCTATAAGCAAAGAGCACAGGTCATCCTTCTCTAGGTGTAGGCTACAAACGATGCATACATAATTAAGAAGCACACATGCATATACATAACAATAGTTTCTACATAAAAGTGCAATAAAATCTTACATTTCAGTTAAAATATCAGTTAAATTAAAAATATATAATTGTCTAAAAACATCAGGGAATACAGGAACATACACAATTTCATTAATCGGGCTACTGATACATACAAATGTATAAAAAATGTGGCTAGAAAGTTACATATCTGCCGTATTCCACTAGACTTGACTGAAAATCTGGACTGGCCCTTCTCTTGCTTCACTGGAACTCTTTCTCTTTTTCTCCTACCATCCGTCCATAATATTACCTTCCTCCCGCCACCACAAATCAAATTCTTCATTCAGCCTATAATAATGATCCAATCTGACCATAATTCGAGGGTCAGATGGATATGTTCATACTTTACGGGCCTGCTTTTCTCGTTTCTGTAAAATTTAAAGATTAAATTGCGGGAGGGGCCTGGGACAATTTTTGAAATACTCTTGTAACGCTTATCAAGACGGGCGTTGCTGTTGATGTTTATCAAAAATACATGTAGACTTATACTTTATGGGGTCATTATTGGGACATTTCTCTGACCTTGCGACAAAGGTCAAACAATTAAATGTCAAATAAAAGAAATTACTATATAATTCTATGGCGACATTTGTTTCTAAATTAACTAAAAGGTAACTAGTATGCAATACATATAGGAACATTTTTTTCATTAAGCTCAGTACTCAGATGCACTAAATTTTCGGTTGACCGAATCAGGAATGATATTACTCCTCAAACAATAAGAAATCAACCCAATTTTCTGCTCGACAGAAAATTTCGCAGCCATCTTTTCGCAGTCGAGTATTCAGATCAGAAGAAAATATACCAAAAAAACAGCTGATTAAATACTTCCATCACGAATCGAAAAATAAAATATATGTATCGTCTGTCGACAGAAACACATACGACGCTAGAAAAGAACAACAGAGAATTTTAATCTTAATCATGCATTGGAACGAAAACTAATTACACTTCTCCACCCGATTTTTTCCTCAAGTAACCAAACCCACTTTTTATGAGAGATAAGGGGTTTAGAAATGGTCTGATGACAATTTTTTTTTATTACAGAACTTTCTTTTTAACAATTTTTAAAATCTGGTATTTTATTTTTTAGTTTTTTTTCAGAGGTAGCTGTTTTTGTGTCACAGATACTTAAGTATCTTAGATCTGCTTGTAAAGAATTTTGTTTATCTAAAAAGCTGATTAATGCAAGTGGCCCCAACATTATGTGATTTTAGCTTGCCGTTGGAAAAACAATATGCTTTAAAGTGCAAATATGTTCATTTTTGTAAGGTCATCACAAAATTTTGTGCAGTAATGGCCGTTTAAGGGGGTTATAAATGGTCTGACGAAAATTTTGTTGTCTATGGCACAACTTTCTTTTTAAGAATTTTTAAAATCTCGTATTTTATTTTTTAGTGTTTTTCAGAGTAAGTATTTTTTAAGTATCTTAGATCTCCTTGTAAAGAATTTTTTTTATGTAAATAGCTGATTAATGCAAGTGGCCCCAACATTATGTGGTTTTAGCGTACCGTGTGAAAAACAATAAGCTTTGAAATGCAAATATGTTAATATTTTTTAGGTCATCACAAAATTTCGTTCAGGGTTTATTATTTGTTTCTTTACATTTAATTAACTGACATTAAAATCTATGGACAAACAGCTGAAAGCCTAGAACGCACATCGAAAAAAGGGGCCGCTAGAAAAATCAGGGATGATATTGGTATGGAACCGATAAGAAATGTTGTCGCGCACGTGTTACTTTCTAGCGGCTGTACGCCAGGCAGTACTCAGATCGACAAAAAAATTGGCCGATTAAATCTAGAAAGTCAGCGGATATTATTTTGTGGTATTGATAGTATTTGTCAGCAGCTCGACAAATATATCTCTGTTCCATATTCCGAGAGGGTACCTATCAAAACAGAGAGTAAAGTCTCAATCAAATGGAGACACCAATGCCGCTGAAGTTGAAAGATAAATTGACCACCGTGCTTCCAAACGAGCTCAAGGCCATCAAACGGCAAAAAAAGAAAGCAAATAGGGTAATGAGATTATATTGAATTAATTTGCATTTTTAATTTGTTTAACTTATTTGAACGCCAGTTGCTTCATGTTGCCAAGACACAGACCGGGCTAAGCTGTTAACAAAATGTTTTAAGTTGTTTTTCTTTTGGGACCAAGTACTGCCCCACAGAGTCGTGCTATCCAATTTTGATTAGTAAGGGTGCTTGGAGGCTCCGTTTTACAACTTTGCCACGGGCGCAAATATTCCTTGGCACGGCCTTGCTGCTCCACCAATCAAAGGAGGCTGCAGATTTTATTCCCAGACATATGCAAATTCTCTGTCATATTTTCAAACTGCGGAATATGCAGGGTATCGTTCCATGGGTTTCCATAAATGTACACATATTTATAAGAGGCCTGCATGGATCAATTTTCAATTCACATACAAGACTACGAAAACGACTTGAAAAATAAAAAACAAATAAATTCTTTTTCGGCACAGCTGTCATGTCTCCACTATGTTTATTCTCACAGTGTACGCTGAATACTCTAATGAAAAATATTTGCAACGCCAAGTCAATTGCCGTTATTCATTATTTGTATACATATTTAGATGTTTATAACCGTTTATCCCTTTCGTCCTAACTTTATTTAACAAATATATGAGTATAGAGAGGATATACAAAATCAATTTATTTTTTTTTTGGGGCAAGCTTCTTTATAAAGTCTCAAATTTGAAGGAATGGCATGTGAGCGCTAAACATGAAAACGCAAATGAGGTAAAGAATAGATACACGCATTGCCATCATTTATGTATGTGTCCCCGCTCTCATGAAATTACGAAGCAGACTTGAAAAGGAACGAGAAGGGACGTGTGAGACGCTTCTTACGCGTCACAACCTTTAAAACCCGGCACTCAGTACTACATCTGCACCTTAGCGGTGTTTTGTCAAATTTTAAATTTGTTCTTCATCTGTCATCTACATCTACAACAATTCTCACACCAACACGCTCCGTTAGCTCGCCGCCATTCCCTAGAACCACACACTGCAGACACGAGGCAGAGGCACCGTCCGCACAAAAAAAAAAAAAAAAAAAACAAATAAAAGCTGCGGGACGGGGTGGGTTAAAAGTCGGAAGAGTCATTGGCAGGGGATGGCATCGGCAATAGCCGGGTGAAGCAGAAGCAGAGGGTGAATAAGAGAATGTAAAAATAACAACAAAAGCTGCGGGACAGGGTGGGTTTAGTCACTGCAAATTAATTTCTGCATTCTGGTATAATAATGATCCAATCGGATCCCAATTTATTGATCTGATAGATATGGTCATTCCCTACGGAATGGCGTTTTTAGTTTTCTTTTATCTTCAAAATTGTGGATTTTGAGGTTTTCGCCCTTTTTCGGGGGCGGAAGGGGGCGTGGCTCATTTTTTAAATACACTTGTAACAGTGTGAGCATACAGAAGTCTGGATGCAAAATTTGGTGGCGGGGTTTTCTCACAAAAAATAATATGTATATATTTATTTTATAAGCACATCAAATTCATTTTTTTTAAATCCTAGTACTCAGATCGAAAAAAAACTTGCTGGCAAAATGTGCGATATATTTTGCTAGCAGCAGAGTGTGGCCAGAGGTGAAACCCGCATTCCGTACGGTTACACTTCTCAGGCAGCTGTTTTGTTTTGTTTACCTCTTTGAAAATGTGTGAAAATTGAATAAAAGGTTAAAACAATGAATACAAAATTGATCCATTCAGGAGATTGCTTTTAGTGGGATTGGCGACTCTTGCATGATCGGAGTAGGAGGACAATCTGCGAAATAAGCGCCGACAACTTTGATAAAACCCATATCTGCAGGAAAGAAACCAAGGCGGTCGTTGTCTATACATTTGAGTATTATAAATCATATAAATATGTGTTCATTTATGGAAACCCGTTGCCCGATGTAAAGTTGTAAAACGGCGCATCCAAGCACCCTTCCTATTCTTCATTGGATTGGATGGTTTCGAGCCCATATTGTCGCCATCACCCTTTGGCACGACCCTGTGGAGCAGTACTTGGTCCCAAAAGGAAAACAACTTAAAACATTTTGTTAACAGCCCAGCTGTGTCTGTGTCTTGGCAACATGAAGATACTGGCGTTCAAATAAGTTAAAAATATTAAAAATGCAAATAAATTCAATGTAATCTCATTAATCTATAATAATTGTTTCCTTTTTTTCCGTTTGATGACCTTTAGTTAGTTTAGAAGCACGGTGGTCATTCATCGTTCAACTTCATCGGCACTGTTGCCTCCATTTGATTGAGACTTTACTCTCTGTTTGCTAGGTACCCTCTCGGAATATGGAACAGAGATATATTTGTAGAGCTGCTAGCAACATAACAACGAATACCACACAAAAACTATCAATACCACACAAATACTATCGATGCCACATCGTCTGACTTTCTAGATTATTTCGGCCTGAAAGCCGCTAGAAAGTAACTTGTGCGCGACAACATTTCTTATCGGTTCCATACGAATATCATCCCTGATTTTTCTAGCGGCCCCTTATTTTCGATATGGGTACTAGGCTTAAGTCTTGTCTTAAAAATCTAAAAGTTACCTTGCTAAAACTCCTGTCTTTCTCAGCCTTTCGCTGATAGGAAAGTCTAATCGAATGATATATGATACATTTTGGTAAGGACGATTACTTTTCAGACCGCCCTTGTAGCCTCTGAGTACCAGCCGACAAACAAGAAGGACACTCATACAGACATAGACTCTGGTATTGATGCTGATAATTATAGTATGTCTGGACGTTGATATGCAATGACTGCACCATCAAGTGGCCCATGCGACACCAAGCCAACGCCTGTTACGCGCGGAACCCAGCAGAACGCAGCCCTCCTCCCGCCCAACCGACCAAGGGGCGCTGCCGCATGACGCGCGGCGCGATTAACCGAACCGGTCTCGAGCATGCAGGAAAGATAGATGGTTAGGCTAATATTCGAGGAAAATTAGGGCTAAACACTTTTAGACTAGTGCTACTATAAACGAGAAGGGACGTGTGAGACGCTTCTTACGCGTCACAACTTTTATACCCGGCACTCAGGACTACATCTAGATGTGGAAGACATCGCCAACCACTGATAACGTTCACATTACAGAAATTACATTGCATCCAAAAAATTTGATAGTTAATATAGTGATAGTTATTTTCCAATTTATGAGATATTTAAAACAGAAATAAAATTGGTACTTTTTCCCTGCACATTCTGTGCAAAAATGACCGATAGGTTACACATCAGATTTTTCGAAAGTGAAAATTTGAATCTCTTGAAAATCTATGAAAATTTCTTGTACGAAACTTTGATGGTCACTCTTTTTCTAATACAGAGCGTTAAAAACCGAGTCTTGGTTTTAACTTTTAAAAATTAGCTTTTGGCCACCGAAACTGGTCATTGGGACAATAGTGCATCTGCACCTTAGCGGTGTTTTGTCAAATTTTAAATTTTTTCTTCATCTGTCATCTACATCTACAACACTTCTCACATCAGCACGCTCCGTTAGCTCGCCGCCCTTCCCTAGACCCACACTTTGCAGACTCGTGGCAGAGGCAGCGCCCTCATACAAAAAACAAAAACCAATATAAGCTGCGGGACGGGGTGGGTTAAAAGTCGGAAGAGTCAGCGCCAGGGGGAGGGCAGAAGCAGGGGCCGAGTGAAGCGGAAGCATAGTGTGAATGAGAGAATGTAAAAAGAGCAACAAAAGCTGCGGGACAGGGTGGGTTTAGCCACTGGAAATTAATTTCTTCATTGTGGCTATAATAATGATCCGATCGGATCCCAATTTGGTGATCTGATTGATATGGCCATTTCCTACGGAATGGCGTTTTTAGTTTTTTTTATCTTTGAAATTGTAGATTTGGAAGGTTTTCGCTCTTTTGCGGTGACGGAAGGGGGCGTGGCTCATTTTTGAAAAACACGGACAGACAGACATGGAACACAGACAGGAAACCATTTCCGACCCCATAAAGTATATATATTCTTGATCAGCATCAATAGCCGAGTCGATTGAGCCATGTCTGTCTGTCAGTCCGTCTGGCCGTCCTGATGACCGCCTAGTACTCAGAGACAATAATGGCAATAAAACCACACCAAAACAACAATGTCTACACCTGGTCACACCGCCGAGCTGCCAATAATACGTGACCATCGATTTGAAAAATATAGAGAAAAATTAGTCCAATTATAATTTATGAAAATTTGAGCGACCGGAATCGCTCCGGTTTGCATCGCTTTTCATCTATCGTAAAAAACTTGCTTCCATATTACTATTCAAATGTACGAACGTACAATATTTTATGGTATATAATACATTTTTTATATTATATTGGTTAGGAGCATCTTTAAGTCCAGTACAGGCACGCAAAATATTCTTGCGACAAAATCAGGGATGATTTTTCAAACAAGCGAAAGGATATCAACCCTGCTTTTTTTACAGATAATTTTGTCGCAAGAATTTTGCAGTTGAGTACTCAGATCAGCAGAAAATTTACCAAAAAACTGTTCCGATTAAATACTTCCATCGCTAAGCGAAAGATAGATTTGGTTTATCTGTTTTCGACCGAATCAAGACACGAGGAAGGAAAAAATCAAAACAGGCGCAAAAGGGTTAGATAATAGCATATAATGAAGACGACCTAATAGTCTTGAGTTAAAACTTATTAATTATATTCCGGCTCTTTACCAAACAGCGTCCAAAAGTTACAGTTTTAGCATATATTTTATCTGTGCTACAATTTTTCTGTATCACAAATACAAAAATTAGGTATCTTTCTGTGAAAACTAACAAACATCCATAATTGATTTATAAAATAGGTCATCAAACAAATATGAGTAAAGCAGAGCAAAGCCGCTTGGATGTTTCAGAATGTAGATCTTTGTTCCTATTTCTCGGTCCAACTATTCGAATAATGGCTTTCAATTTCAACAATACAAAGTATATCGATAGTTACATTATCGATGAGCTCCCATCTACGCTGTCAAAGAAAATGGCGAATTGTGCTAGTATCGGAGGAATTGAAAATTAGTTAATAATTTATTTTATTTTGTGACCGATTAAAACAGTTTAGTACTCAACAAGTGTGCCTAAAAAAAAAATTGATTTAATGTTTCAATCATATAATATAAATATGTAAGAACAGGCCGAAAAACCATGCGTTCGCAAGTAGCCTTGTACATTTCACAGCCATACATGTGTACACATGCATATGCATACATTTTATTTTAATGCTATTTCTTTTTTACAATACGACCATTTTTTCTGTCTGTTTATATTAAAAAAAAACCCTCGACCGCACGTACTTGTAGTTTCCACGTACTTACACATGGGCAACTATCCTTATGAAGACACACAGTGAAGCTTAAAATAATTTAAAATAAATTGTTGCAAAACTAATAATTTAATATGTATTTCTCTTTGCAAATTAATGATAGCTCAAGTAAAGTGTGTTTTAACTGTGCGCGTGGGTCAGACATATAAATAATTGTTTGCCGTTCCTTCGTTCTGGATCAGGCAGGCTTGATTATCCGGGATCTATAAATGAACCAAAATCAAATCCAGCAACTCACCTCTCACCTCTCACAGGCTCTTGATCAAAACTATGATGTAAGATTACTTCTTTTGTACCATTAAATTGCTTATTGCTTATAGAAAAATAATTACAGGTCGTCAATATGGATGCGGTTCTCTCTGTCATATGTGCTCTCGAAGGCACAACGATCACTAAGGAGCAACTGGAGGCCACCAGATTGGCGAAGTACATAAACCAACTTAGACGGAGAACCAAAGATGAACATCTTGCCAGACGTGCGAAGTCCCTACTGAAGATGTGGCGAGAAATGGTGGGGATTCAGCAAACGGCTAATGATTCTCAGCACCATCACAGTCAGCACTCATCCCTACCGACAACGCAAACATCACATTTTTACAAGTATACAGCGGCAACGACAGAAAGCAACTTGGCCGAATCAGTTGTTCATCTGCCCATTTCCCCTTCGGTTCCGTCACACCGAACGATTTCAGATCTGCACTCAAATATGGATTCCTCTGAACAGTCACCTGCAGCCCTGCCTGCCCAGCCACATTCAAATTTCGCAAACCTTATTAATAATATAAGCAAATTTGAACGCGAAGAAAGCAACTCTAGCAAGTCAATGCAAACTCATAAGCAACCGCAGCCACAATTCCAAACTAGGTCTCTTGGACTGCCGCTCCCATTCATAAATGAACAGTCATTGAATTCTGTATCAATCTCATCGGATGTCGGAAATGATAAAAGAAGTGAAGCTTCAATTGTGATCGATATAGTAACTGATTCTGACGACAACGACAATGAGAGTGAAAGTACAATACGGGGAAAATCCACAATAGCTGCGTCAACACCTCTCACAATATCGCCTGCTCCGTGCATTCGGCCAAAAAAATTTAAAAAGGATAAAAAGCATAAAGAAAGGGTTAGGTCAAAGTCTTCTTTCTTGGCTAACAACGAATTAATCGGACAACACTCCAGATACAGCGCGAAAGTAAAGGAAGGCCAGTCGCAAACAGCTCAGGCAACAGACTCTGGTATGAGAAAACCACTTATTTTTTGTTCAAAAAAGTATTTTTAACTTGTAGAGCCTATCAATCATAAATATAACGATTCTTTCAATTCTATCAAGAGAAAGAACATTATTTGAATGCCACCAACTTAGTTTTGTATTAATCTTTGACTTTGTTTTTTTGTAGAAATTTTTTCTCTGTCTAATAGCTCGATGAGCTCAATCTTATCTGGGGATGCAGCTATATTGAACTCGCAGCATAGGTTTCTACCAAATTCATCAGAGCTGACGTTCACCGGCAGGTTTAAGACAGTCGACCAATCTAATAGTTCAAATCAGGATAATTCCGCTCTGCCGATCGGACAGAATACCGTATTCCGACAAAATGAATCAGAAAGACCAATACTTGAAGATTCAATTACAAACGACTCGAGTACATCCTGCAGTCGGCTTTCTCCTCCCACTGTCGAAGAACGCAGAAAATTAGATAAAGTTGATGACTCAATACAAATGCCAATGCCTTCGATTGGACTTGTCCACGAGTCAAATAGTAGGACTGACTATTTGGAAAGCTCATCAAAGTCTCAAGTTCCTAAAAAACGTGGACGGAAAAAAGGCTCAAAGGGCGTGGACGCTGTAATTGCCAAGGAATCGTCTAGCCTGTCGGAGCAAATTTTTTTTGGCGTTAGTTCTAGTGTGAAAAAGGTGAAGACCACTAAAGAACTTTTCAGTGAAATTCAGAGCAGGAAATTAATCACTGCCGTGCAGTCGTCCACAAGTAATATCTCAAATTCCTCCATATCTCGAGAACTGACTACCCGTGCTCCCATGCCAAGACCAACCTCATCTTGTTCTGGTTAGTGTCCTATTAATATTTGAGCTTGCTTCATATTTTATATGTATCTATATTTATTCCTAGACACGTCGATCCCTTCGCCACAAATCATGGAAACTTTTTTAGGAAATGTTACGCTGATGGGGGTTGACAAATTTTCAATTAAAAATGAAGGTGAGTTCCCAGTCGTTGTCAGAATCTGTAGCGACCAAATCAGCCTTAGATCAGGGCTCGGCACGGCCATATCTATTGCGTATAGGACAAGGCTCTGCCGTGGCGCTGCTGCTCACGTACACGCGTATTACAGTGATTCGTACCAATGCACTATAGTCCCAAGGACCACTTTTCTTGTCCTTAATTAATAACTCGCGAACGAATCAAGATTTTTGGATTTAGTCTTTTGGTTTAGTTAAGAATAGAAGAGGACGGAAAAACGGTTTGTAATTTTTTTTCTCAAAATGTTAGAATCAAAAAAAGGATGGAAATAGGTTTAGCATATCACGATTCTATAAAAAACATCAAAATCTAAGATACTCGAATTTTTTCTCCCACAAAGCATGCTCTTCAGCAGTTTCCATTATAAAACAACATTACACTGGCTACACTCTAGCCCTCCAAAACAGCTAGTGACTAATACTGTGGCTTAAATGCAATGCAAAAAGGTACCCTACTTCACAATTTTCTTCTTCATTGTGTTCCAAACAGCAAAACACATTGAAATTTCCCATTTGAGGTTATAATCTGTAAATGCAAATTGTAAGAGTTGTGGTCAAATGTGGCTTTTCTGACTATAGACATTTTACCAATCATTTAATGGTCTAATACACACAATAGGTTTCAAGGTGGGACTAGGTGGCACTCTATTAAAAAAAACTTTTTCGAAAATTAGTTTTCACTACGAACTGATACAAATTGAAAGCCTCACTTTGACATAATTACGAAGACATCGACAACCACTAGATACCGGTCACATTACAAAACACGTAGTAAAAAGCCTACTGAATAAAATGCATCAAACAAATTTGATCAGTTAATCGGATTTTTTAATTTATGAGATATTTAAAACATCAATAAAATTGGTACTTTTTCCCTGCCCAGCTGTGCAATAATGACCGCTAGGTTTCACAGCAGAGTTTGTGAAGGTGGCGCCATCTATGAACATTTCTGGTACGCGGCTTTGATGGTCAATCTTTTTCTAATAAAGAGCGCAAAAAACCGCGTCTTGGTTTTAACTTTTAAAAATTAGCTTTTGGCCACCAAAAGTGTTAATAGTGGATAGTGCAATGTGAAATGTTCCGTTTTTTCTGCGTCTTTTAATTTTAATAAATAAATATTTTTCGGATAGTAGCTGTGTGGGTTTCTTGCAAGTACTTATTAAAAAAGAATTGCCCCCATATGTCAACATAAACCACTTTCAGAGAAAGCTTACAAGAAAAGTTATTTTTTGCAGATGCCGCTAATACGGATAGTGACACCATCACTTCAGAGCCATCTCAAGATAGTAACAAGTCGCAGGAAATTAAGGAATGTACTTCACTGGACAGCAATAGCAACTCTCTCCAGATTTTGTCTCTGGCAAAAACATCGATGCACACTTTAAAGTCGGACAGCTATAGCGATGTTACCACACAACTAATGCATCTTATTCACAGCATAAAAGGCCCAGTGAGTGTCTATGAAGTTGAAAAGTTATACCGAGCTCAGATTGTACCGTGCACCTGCCTAGTTATAGAAGAACTATCCAACCCTTTGGGCGAGGAAATCAGTTTAGGTTCGGACAACGTTGCGGGCGATCCTAAGAGCGATTCAAATAATGATAACGTTTCTTGTCATAAAAACCAAGAAGAGCAATTGCCCAAAATTGAACGATTGAGTGACAATGATATTTTAGTTGATACCCCGGCGAAACCAGTTAGGTCCATATTTGACTTGGATTTTGATGAGGGCGAAGACCCTTTGCAATCAATAATTAACGATATTCGTATGCCGCCAATTAAACTGAAAGAGACCAAAGAAAACTCAGATTTCAATACCTCCCTTGCCCATTTACCATTGAATATTGCTCCTCTGGATGTTGCTAGTGGAAATATCGATGCAGTACAAAATCGAGTCAACTGTCACAACCAGGAGGGAGAAAACAGTGAAGAACTTAATGTCGCTATTCCTGTTTTCACCTGCCACGAGGATCCAGATTGCGTTGCAAAGCAAAGGTTTCACGTGCAAACCAACCAAGTGAATAATTTTCATATAAATGCGTTACACAACTTTTACATACCAAATATAAACGGCAATTGGGATAGCATCGACTTATCTATTGTCTCAGAATCTACAATAACCGACTTCCGCAGTACCTACACAGTCACGGATGGAGCTGACGTTGTACCAAAATATGGCTCCCTTACATACGACCGGATTAGAAAGGATCTGAGTTCTATGACATTTACAAGATCTTTCAAGACCAGACACTTCAAATCGAAAGTAACAGCGTTTCTTGGAGTGGCAAAGTGTTTGCCAACGTGTCGTCTCGCTAGAAGAAGGATTAAGAAAAAACAAGTTAAATCCCCGCCGACTCCATTAACAGTGATTCCGAGTACAATAGAAGTTTTGGACCTGTATCCGGACCACATGCAGATGAAATATAATTGTGCTAGTCCACTGAAAGTGGATGTTGACATACCAGTTTCTGGCCATGAATATAATACCGAAAACAATGTGCAAATGCAAGTCAATTTGAAGACCAAGAGCGATCCAACTTTAAGTTACAACCTTCTAAAATTGGCCAATAGCAAGTCGCTTTTTGAGAAAGGTGAGCCAAGCGATAAGGGCAGTGAATACGAGAATAAGAAAAACAGTCGCCTTAGTAGCAGTAGTAGCAGCAGTTGCAGCAACTCTAGCCAGTCTAGCAACTTCAGTTTAAAAAAAAAACAGGATTCCATTAATGAAAAGCTTAGAAATCAGAGGTCTCAGCGGTACAGAGTCCAAACTATAGAACCGGCACAAGAGGAAACTAGTAGAAAACGTCAAGAGAAAAATATGAAAGCGATACATTTTGAAGAAAATCCACCCATTAAGCGCATTAAAATTTCTTTGAACGGAAAAATGTCGAACCTTAGCAGTAGCAAAAACAGCAGTTCTAGTGAAAGTGAATCCGAAACTGGTATAGAGAACGATAACGAAGTCGAGAACGACTATAAAAATAATAATGACGAGGAATATGCAGTTGTTCAACGACCCATGGGTGGCGTTAGCAATAATCACATTGTAATGACAATAAAGAAAACACCAAGTAAAATCAATTCTCCAGCTAACTCAATCTCTGCTACTTCACCTATTAATGCATCCGAGACTCGTAACGTAAGAAATTCATTTTTTGACTCTAATCGGCACAATGTGTCCAAATCAAGTACTTTAAGCGCTCCCCTATATCCAACGGATTATAGTAAAAGAGTTTTATTGTCCAAAAAGAATCGTCATCCGAATCGTCAACGTCGTTATCGTCTATCTCGTCGAAAATCGGATTTTAAAGGCAGAACTATTGATTTAGAGCTAAAACATTTGTTCACTTGCAAACCCAACCCAGATCTAAACACCGTGTCCGACATAAAACTTCATAAAAAGCTTTTTTTCAATCATGAACTATGCAAAAAGAATAATGCAGGCAGAAAACAGAGGATTTTAAACTACAGCAGTAGTAGCAGTTCAAGCTATGATGATGACGAAAGCGGGTTTACTTCAGAGGAATCTGGAGCAGAAGCTAAAAAAAAAGTTACTACTTTTGAAAAATACAGCTTAAATATTGAGACTGATACGAGTGCCGAGAGAACGGTAGAAGATCCACTTGAAAATAAAATTAAAGAGGGTCCTTATTTATCATCGTCTAGCAATGATGTTGACGTTAGCGATAGCCAGAGCGAGGGCGAGATCGAAAATCATGAAGTATTAGATGAAGCTGCTGAAAATGTCGAAGTTGACACACTTAATGAAGTGTATAACAATGGAATGCTGACATCTTTTAATTCGATATGTGTTGTAAAACAGAAAATGAAAGAACCGACGGTGATGGCGGTCTCGGGCAGTGTCGACGCACCCGTACCACAATCCACTGCATCGCTGGCGTCACTGCAAAATGAGAATTGTGATGATGTGAATAATCTATGCTATAATAACAACAATTTAGATGTAATTAAACATAGCATAAATACTAGCTCCATACTGAATGATACCATTTATAAAAACGTCATTAGTAATACTTCTCCAAGAGTCTTAGCCAACAACTTCAGCGAATGTATTGAACAGAATATCGAAAATTCTGAATTAAAGCCCCATATGCACTCCAGTGTTGAGCACCAAACAGGTACTCGACGAACCACCCTGAAAGACGTTGCGTTATCCTGCTACGCTGATTTGGACTGTACCCGAATTCAGAAATTTAAGGAGTGGCACCAAGTTCTTCAATTGCAATCATATAATAATGAGCCCTTAATAGTTCTGCCATACGTTGTGCTTGAATAATTTATACATTTCACTTACGGATGATTTCGGAAGAAATATAAAGTAAATTTGGCCAATTACATTTAATGCTGATGTGTTCTCTAAATTCTGTTAAATTGTTATGTCCAATCAAAGCTATTTTTTCGTTAATTTAATATTTTATATTTTTTCATGATTAATCCACAAAAAAACATAATATAAGCATATGGACAGAAATAGTACTTTCGATTGCATAATCACTTGGATTTCTGTTAAAGTCTTTTCTTAAAAATAATTTTTTGTTTATATTTTGAAATATTTAAGAACATATTTAAACATAAGGTAACAAATCAAATGTAAATTAACTGTAAATAAATTAGTTGTACTCTGAAGTAAATCAGTAGGCCATTTTCAAATCCGTATTCTAAGAGAGGACTCTACGAGTATCTACCAAATATTAACCAGTATGCTAGTTTATGTATCAACCCTTTTAAAGAGAGTGAGGTTGACTAGCAGATTAGACTAGAAGTGAAGTCTGGTGGAATACGACAATATATACACTGACAAGCAAAACTGCAACACGAGTTCAGGACTCTCACTTCAACGGTCAGTATCTTCTCTTCTATTGAATGCAGCCTCAAGATCTTGGTCTTGTTCTGTTGGTGACTTATTTAGCTATGTGTTTTGAAAATTTGAAGACATTTGAAGAAATATTGTCTGGACGTTGATATGCAATGACTGCACCATCAAGTGGCCCATGCGACACCAACCCAAAGCCTGTTACGCGCGGAACCCAGCAGAACGCAGCCCTCCTCCCGCCCAACCGACCGACGGGCGCTTCCGCATGACGCGCGGCGCGATTAACCAAACCGGTCGAGAGCATGCAGGAAAGATAGATGTTAGGCTAATATTCGAGAAAAATTAGGGCTAAACACAACTAGACTAGAGCTACTATAGCTAAGCAAGCAAAAAAGACCAAAATCAGAAACAAGACAAAACTAAAATGAAACTAACTACGGGAGAGCTAGGCTAGTGTAAGAGATTTAAGAAGAGGAAGGGAGTTAGTTGAGGATATAATGTGGTAGAGGGAATTATAATCCGAGCATAAAACCCTAAAGGGTTCGTGTGAGGCATAATTCGATCTACATAGTGGAAGGAACAAAGGAATATAGTTTCTAGTGGGTCTAATGGGAATCGTAAAGTTTACGCGGCTCAGCAAGTCAGGGCTGTCTACATCCCCCTTGATCAACTTGTGCATAAAAATTAGACCAAGCATTTTTCTACGACTAAGGATGGAAGATTTATTAAAAGAAGTCTACTACGGTAGGATGGCAGTCTCACAGTTGCATCCCAGTTGAGGCCCCGTAGGGAAAATAATAAAAAGTTTTTCTGTACTGATTCAATACGGTCCTGATGTATGTTCTACTGAGGGCACCATACACATGAGCCGTATTCTAAAATCGGACGAGTCTTTGTTATATAGGGGTCATCAAATTCTTTTGACCACCTCTTTATAAACCCAAGCACACCCATGACTTTATTTACCATGGTAGAAATATGTTCAGAAAACTTTAACTTGGGGTTTAGTTTAACACCTAGATCATCAACCAATGTAATTCTCTCAAGATAACTACCGCAGAGGGTGTAAGGAGCCAGGAAGGGGCTGGAGCGATAAAAAGTCATTACATTGCACTTCGAGCCATTAAGTTGTAACATATTTGCACAGCACCATGACTGAAAGCTATTGAGATCAGATTGCAAGCGAGAGTGAAATGAAATGTCCTTATACTGGACACAGAGTTTAACATCATCCGCATACATAAGTACTCGAGAATTTGTTAATACGGAAGGCAGGTCATTAATAAAGAGTGTGAAAAGTAAGGGGCCTAAATCGCTACCCTGTGGTCCTCCAGAAGTAACCATTGTTGATCGTTACCGTATAAATCCATGCTGAGCTGGAGATATAAGTGATTTGCAGAGATGTTGCAAGTGCAAGTTTCTCGAACATTTTAGGAATAGCGGATAACTTAGATATCCCTCTATAGATTTTAGCGTCAGACTTGCTATCTTTCTTATGAAGAGGAATTATAAAGGATTCCTTCCAGATGGGGGGAAAGCTAGAAGAATGGATGAATAGAGTGAATAGTTTAAGCAAAGGTCCGCACAGAGACTCGGCGCAGTACCTGAGTACACAGCCGGGAACTCCGTCAGGGCCCGGTGAAAATACCGGATTAACTAATTTAAGTTCATGAAGTAATTAAGAATTAAACAAAGTTCAGAAAATGCCATTCGACCTTGGTAAACTATATGGATACATATGACCTGGGTAGCTTTCCTGGGAATAGGTGGTTTGAAAAAATTGTGCAAAAAGATCGGCGATTGCCTGATCATTGTTTGCCGACATATTCAAAAATGATAGCTAGGATGGATGTGCGAACGTTCTACGCTTACTGTTTACAAAGCTTTAAAACTGTTTAGGGTCCTGTGAAAAACGTATCCTGCATCGAATGAGGTAGTTCCTATAGCATTGAGCATTAAGAACAGTGAAATTTGACCGAGCTATTAAGTAATTAGAAAGAGAAGAGGGAGAACCAACTTCTTGAGATTTTTTAAATAGTCTTGATTTTAGGTTCTTTAGACTGGATAACTCTTTGGTGATTGTACAAAATATTTGTGCCTTCAATGACGTCAGTGCACGAATACAGAGCGGACCAATCAAAATTTCTAATTAAGTTATTGAGCTTCGTAAACTCGGCTTTACGAAAGCAGCGGACGCGTTCAGATAGCCTACCCGCACAATCCGATACAGTAGGTCCAATATCTACCGACACTTCGAAAGTAGGATGATAGCAGTCTTCAGGTATAGTGAGCGGGAGTGCTCGTGTTAACAACGCTACGGTCGGATCCGAGACAAAGCACAGATCAAGGAATCGACCCAAGGAGTTTTTTACATGGTTGACTTGAGACAGGGACAGGTCTAATAAGCCATCAATAAACTCATGTCGTGACATGGGCACAAGGTTGTTTGACTCGTTAACGGAAGACCAGACAGTACCTGGCAGGTTGAAATCCCCAAGAACTATTAAATGGTCTTTATCAGATAGCGAGGAAGAAACAGTTTTTAAGGCAGACAAGTGCTGATCGTATATTATTACATCCGAAGTCGGTGGAATATACGAGCAAGTAACATAAATAGACTGGCCGGGAAGAATCAGTCTAACACAGAGGAATTCCAGGTCTTGTGAAACCTGGACTATGAACAGTTCCGACGTAAAGTAAGAGTTTACTGTAATCAGAACCCCTCCTCCACTAAAGTAAGAGTTTACTGCAATCAGAACCCTTCCTCCACGTCGAGACGATCATTCCTATAAATTGTGTACCGATCTGCCAAAACTTCGGAACGAAGAATGTCCGGCTTTAACCAGGTTTCGGTAAACACAATAACATGGGATGAAAATGTGAAACTATCCATCAAAAGAGTGCTCGGCTTACTACGTAAGCCGCGAGCATTTGATAGGCTACAAAGAGGGATGTTAGTTTTTTGACTGCAAGGAATTGCAGTGGGAAGAGGTGGATGGAGCAGAGGAGGAAGGACCACTGGCCTCACTACTTAGCCTTAAACTCTTTCACAACCAGGTGCTCTGGCCAAAATTTGGAAGAGCAAATGGTCTCGAAATGAGTTGGAGACACGCTAATCTTGAAAGAGGATACCTCCCTGGCATAAGATAAATTAAACTTCTCCACCTTTATACCAACGGCTTTTATTTTGCTTTGTATAAAAGAAGTTACATCATTAGATGTGAGGTCAGGGGCAAGCCGAGAGACAACAACTTGCCGCTTTGGTGGGACTCCCACCAGAGGTTTTGGCACCACAGATCTAGTAGCTGTGACGGCAATATCCGGTGGTCCAGGACGTTTATTAGCTGGTGGGATCGAAATAGATGGGGTGGGCTTTGGAACGGACTCGACAGACACGAACGCTACAGTACTAACTGGCTGCATGTTCTCCGAGATGATCCATTCGGTAGCCGAAACTTGATCACCAGCAGTTGTCGTTGCCCTTGGAGTGGCGAACGAAATTAGCTGCTGAACTATCGGAGTGGACGGAGACAGTTGATCAGAAGCGAGCGGTCGAGGGACAGGCACTTGCAGATAACGAGGAGTGACTTTTTTGCGCCTAGGAGACTCAATCAGCACTTAAAAACTGCTGAATTGAGACTCCATGGCTAGAAGCCGATCGTACTGCTTTTTAAAGCTAAACGTGACCATGTCATTCTCGACAGACCGACATGCCTCGCAACTGTAATGCAGACCACTACGCTTTGAAATTGCGTCACCCACGAGGCCTGAAAACCCAATACATTTTGCGTGCACTACGTTATCGCAGAGCCAGCAAGGGATAATCGGCTGGTCGTGGGTGATCTGCTTTTTGCAAGCCTTAGCGGAGCGCACAACCACGTATTCCATTATTTTTATTATTTATATTGAATATATAAATAAAAATATTTTCACAAAACAAATAGCAATGTTACCAGTGCTTAAAGCAATTCTTAAAGCGGGATCGAAAACAGATGAGCGCAGAGAGGAGAGAAGAACAAGCGCAGAGGCAGCTAAAACAGTGAGCGAACGCTACTGCACAGAAAGTATTGAGCGAGAGAGGGAGAACAGTTACTCGAGCCAGAGAGTGAAAGGCAGAAGCGCAACTACAACTCAAACGAGAAGGGACGTTTGAGATGCTTCTTACGCGTCACAACTTTTATACCCGGTACTCTGCACTACATCTGTACCTTAGCGGTGTTTTGTCGAATTTTACATTTTTTCTTCATCTGTCATCTACATCTAAATCTACATCTACATCTAACACTTCTCACGCCAACACGCTCCTTTAGTTCGCCCTTCTTCCCTAGAGCCACACACTCCAGAGTCACGGCACAGACAGAGGCCGCACACTGCAGAAGCAGAGTGTGGGTCATTTTTGAAATACACTTGTAACAAGACGGACGGACAGACAGACAGACATGGCTCAATCGACTCGGCTATTGATTATGATCAAGAATATATATACTTTATGGGGTCGGAAACGTTTCCGGACCCATAAAGAATATATATTCTTAATCAGCATCAATAGCCGAGTCGATTGATCCATGTCTGTCTTTCCGTCCTGATGACCGCCTAGTACTCAGAGACTATAAAAGCTAGAGCCACCAAATTTTGCATCCAGACTTCTGTTGCACACACTGTTACAAGTGTATTTAAAAAATGGATTCATTGCCTGAAGATGTCCATGTAAAAAAGTCATATTTAGATTTTTACTTTTATTATCATTTCACAATTGTTATGTTTATTTTTGTGTCAATAACCGTCCGCATTTTGTGTGTGTCGTTAGTTATGC